GGGCCTGACAGGAGTGGACTGTGGTGGTGGGTTGCCAGAAGCTGCTGTGATACATCAGTGATGTCCCATGGGGGAAGGATTCAGTTGTGTTGAATATAGCTAAGTGCAACCTACCCTGCAGCACCCACCCCACACCCACCTCCACATTTCAGAGGTTCAGGTCCATTGCATCAGTTCACCACCCGGCCAAGAGCCTGCAGCTGGACTCAGCTGCTGTGAAGCCCAGAGAGCTCCAGAGACCCATCTTTTAATAGAGCAGGACAGGGAAGGGGTCATGTCCAGATGGCAGCCCAACAAAGGGGCAACCAGGATGGTGCCAGGTGTCGCAGCCGGCTGTTCTACTGATTTCAGTTCCTCCGCACATCCACGAGAAGGAAGCATCTTCCCCGAGCATCTATTCCCGCCGAAGCCATCAAGCCCTCACCTGCACAGTCTACGGCATCCCAGCACCCGAAACGATCCAGTGGCAGTGGAGGCCGTGGATGCCTTGCCGGATGTTCTCCCGACGCAGCCTGTAAGTCCTGTTCCTATCCTGGCTTCTTGAGGAGGGGACTGGGCACCCAGGTCCCTGTCAGATCACTCAGGAGAAGCTCCTGGGCCAGGAGCAGGCTGCCCAGGGAGGTTGTGGCCTCTCCATCCTCAAAGGTTTTTAAGACCCAGCTAGACAAAGCCTTGGCTGGGATGATGTAGTTGGGGCTGGTCAAGCTTTGAGCAGGGGGCTGGACTAGATGTGACCTCCTGAGGTCCTTCCAACCCTCATTTTGTATGGATCTGATTCTGTGACCCTCAGAGCTGGGCATGGCAGATAGGGTGGGGGAGAGTGGCTGTTGGACAACTCTTTGGTACATGGAAAGTGGCGTTGTCTACAACTTGGAGCAAGAAAGTGAAGAACCCAGGGCTGCTTAAAGTCAATCAGGGTTGTTAGACCTTCTCAAAGAAATCCTGGGTCCTGAAAAGAAATGGTGAGTTCACAGGGTTAGATCCCGCCGGGCATTGGCCTACGGCCTGCCCCCACTCCGAGGCGATAATTAGAACGCGCCACAGTTAAAGTTCAGCCACAAGACTGTATTTAAAAGATAATGGTGACAACAACCATGGAAGGTTAACCAGTATAAACAGACTACACAAGTATACAGAGAATAACAGGAAACATAAAATCAACAGTGCTCGCTCCCGTCAGCACTCTCCCCAAGGCAGGCTGTCGCCCACTGCCCCGGCACAGCCATGCAGCTCTTCTTCCACCGCCCCCCGTTCTCCCCAGTGAAGATTTCTGTACCTTTCCCACCGGGGACTCGGCACATCACTGGGAAAAGGATAAACTATATGTTACCCACTCCTTCAGACGAAAGGTTCGAGATGTACTTCAGGCCAAATTCGAGTATACTCCACTGTCTCGGAGTATCGTCTCCCATGGCCCAGGCTCCCTTCTCAACTCCCACCACCTGACGTGCGTCCCACCTCACAGCATTGGGCCTTACTCATACACAAGATTTCACACCAATTTTTTTTTTTTATTAATACATTTCGTGTTCCAGGTCAAATCAATTCCAAATCATATTGATTGAGCAGAACTCAGTTGTTCCAAAAACCATATCAATGGAGCAGGCAGAACTATTCATTCAAAATATCACATATGGCGCTACAACCGATGAGCATCCTCCATCCCAGGCTCTCACCCTGAGACTTTAGAGATTCCCAAATCCATTGGCAGGCATCCTACGTGCAGACCCAAGCCTGGAGGTCTTGCGATTCAGATGCCCCCACTTGATCTGAGCCAAAAATCACCAACTTGGGCATGGTATTTGCCCAATCCTCGCACACCTCTTACACCGCAGTTCGCACACCTGCTCACACACACCTCAGCTCTCGCGCCCTTTAACCACACCACTCCTGTCCATCTCATGCACAACCAATTGTGTGGTCTCACAGACTGCAATCACCCATCAATCCCACAGTGACCGCTCAGGAACATAGGTGAGCATTGCAAGCTTTCCCACCGAAGAGGTGTGATGTAACACGAGGTGCTCCTCTTAGGAAAAGCAGGTCGTGACATAGTTAAGGTCATGCGGTCAATGATTGCAGACCCGTCAGACCTCTAGTCACGGTGTGCATGTGTAACATTTACACCATTACGTAGCACAATAGGAGGCAAGGCCGGGAACCAGTTGTCAACTGGGAGGCGTCAGGACTCCTGGGTTCTCTTACTGACCCGCTCTGTGGTCTTGATCTCACTTTGCCATCATTGCCTCCTTTTCACCACCGGTTGCATGCAAAGCTCCAGGCCATGATTTCCCTGCCCCTTGCTAAGGCAAAAACTGACACCTGCTCCTCACCCTCTCTTTATTTAAACATTGACAGCCTGTGATGTGCAGGACCTACAACCAGAGGAGTAGGGGCCAAAGGCTGTGCATGCTCAGGCTCTGGGGGATAGGGGACCCTCCAGTCCTCTTCCCCAGCTCCACTGGCTGATGTAGGCTCTGGAAAGGATCCTGCTGGCCTTTTGTGGCCGGAAAGAGTCTCTGCAGTACAGGGCCTTCAGCATGATGAGTTGTAAAGGTGAGGGGTCTCTGGAAGGCCCTGTCTACACTAGACTTCCTCCTGCAAAATCCCTCGCTGCCCGTAGTCCTGGGGCAGGCAGCCTTGTAAGAGCTGCTTGTGTAGCAAGTCCCAGGTCTCTTCATCCCTGCACTATCGCACCCTGCTCAAAATAGATGCTGCGGTGGTCAAATGGCAGCGGGCTCCGGGGGGCTCGCTCTCTCTCCGGTCCCCACTGCGGTTCAAGGGAAAGGCTTTGTGCGGATGCATCCAGAGGGCGAAGCGGAGCCAGCAGGAGCTGGCAGAGGGGGAGAGTCACAGGCCTGGAGGAAATGGCACGCTTGCACAACCACCCAAGCCTCAAAGGCACTGCCGCCAGGGGCAAGGAAGCCAGGGCATTTCCACTAGCACACGAGCGCTTTGTGGCCCTGTCAGGAAGCAGAGGGGCCGGTGAGTTATGAGCACTGTCTCCCAAGGCCGCGGCATTTCTGCTTAGTGCAGCTCCAGAGGATGCAGGAGGCTTCTTCCTGACTTCCTGTTGTTTACACAGATCCCCGCAAAACATCGAGCCCTCTGCCCTGCGCGACCGGCAGATTCCCCCTCGCCCTTACCCCCATGCACCCACGGAGCAGAGTCGCTCTGCCCTGTGCCCCTTGCCCCTGGTTTGCTCAAGCTGCAAAGCACCAGCCCCTTCACAGACTGGAGATGCTCTCTGCTCACTCCACTGGCCCCCAGACCCCCACTGCTCCCCCAAGGACACCCTCGTGCCCTGCTCCGGGGGTCTCTGGCCGACCCTCCTCTCCTTTCCACATCGCCCACCTGCCTTTCTTAAATGCACCTGGCAGAGGACACCTTTGGCTGCCAGGTTGCCCATGAGATCTGGGTTCTGCACTCCTGGAAGATCAAAGGCTGAACAGCCTCGGGCTCCTTCCCCCACGTTGGAAAGCACCCGGGCCAAGGAGATTCAGTCACTCCCTTCTCTCTTCGCTGCCTTCAGCATCTGTGCTGGAGACATTTCCTTCGGCCCCAGAGCGGGGTTTTGGTGGACCTGAGCCACCAGGTGGGGGAGCAGAAACATCTGCAATCACTCCCCGGCAGCGAGCCGGGTGGTGGCATTTCAGCCCTCTGCGCTCTGGATCCATCTCCAGGGAATCGTAATGTGGATTCAGAGCTCAGCCAGAAACCGGCCTCGGCAGGAGTAACTGGCTTTCCTTTCCAGCCTCCTCCTGCTTTCGGAGGGCAGGACAAACTTGTAGCTAAAATAGTGGCCACGCTGGGCTGGTCGCTTCCCTCTCCCTGCCGCAGTGTTTCCCCCCAAACAGAAGTAATCCTCTTGCCTAGCTCAAGGGGTTTGGTGAGACCTGCCCACATGGGGACATGAAGTATTGTAACCGAGACCATTCCCCAGCCCAAAAAGTGTGTTTTGTCCCAGCGCAAGGAGCCTCCGGGTCTCAAGCCCTCTGTTTGTCTCCTTCTCAGCTAACACCCTCTCTCCCTTCCCTTTCTCCCCTCCCTGCCGAATTAGCCACAGTCGGCGACGGGCAGCAAAGCGGCATCAGCGGGACCGGATGCCCGAGTGCAAGGACTGGAAGGACGTGTCACTGCAGGACGCCGTGAACCCCATTGAGAACATTGAGACCTGGACAGAGTTTGTGGAAGGAAGAAACAAGGTGAGGCTGTTTCTCTAGGTCCCTCCTCGTGATGCAGAGCTCTCTGGTAGTCAGGGCCGGACATGGGCATGGATGAACTGGGTGCCCAGACAGAAAGGGGGCCCCAGAATGGTCATTTTTTTTATTATTATTATTATTATTATTATTATTATTATTATCCCTGGTGAAGGTGAAGTGGGGGGCGATAACTAAAATTTTGCCAGGGGCTGCCAGGAGTCTAGGTACGGTGCAGCTGGCAGTTCAGTTCAGATTAGCTCCCCATCATCGAGCCTGCTGGACCAGCCAGAGCACCTGGGGAAGGCAGCAGGCATGTCTGGACACCCGGGGCAGATCTTGGGGGGTTTCCACTACCGTCTCCTGTTGCCTCGTGGGTTTGCTGCCAGCCAACAACCAAGCTGTGAAGCAAAAGTCCAAGCCAGGGAGAGAGGGGGCCCAAGACACAGAGAGATGCCGGCAAGCTAGTTCCCTGCAACCTGATAAACATCTCAAGCCTGTCTCTACCAAACCAGCCTCAAGGGAAGGTTGTTCCCCGCCGCAATTAGGTTCCACCTTATCTCTTCCCCAGAGGCAAAACGCTCTCCTCTGTCCCATAAACCCCCATGCTTTTGCTCTCGGACACAGGCATCACTGCTCAGGTGCAGAATCCCAGTAAATGAAGTAGAGACCATCAGCTGGGGAAAGCCAGCCCAGTGCTGCGAATCAGACACCGACCTACCCCTGAAGGACAGGATAGGACTCTGAATCTCTGAACATCCTGGGATAACAACCACTCACTTGAGACTCAGTTTGGCGTGGGAGAAAAGCCAGTAAACGGAGGTGGTATGGAACAGCGCTGGTGTGAATGAAAGCATGGGAGTGCGTGCATGCCCCGTGGAGCCCGAGCCGTTGGCTCCTGCAGCATGCTTCCTCCCTGGAAGGGACTCCACTCCCTCTTTCTGACGTGTGACACGGCCAGGCCCGGCCAGCGCTGAATAGCTGTGTCTTTCCATCCCTCTGGTAGCCATAAGTGTCAGAAGTATGTGCGCCCCGCCATGACTAACTTCCTGCTCCAGGCTGGAGTGTCAGGCACCAAACGCGCGCAGAGGGATACAGGCTCAAGAACAAACAAACGCTCCCCATTTCCTAAAGTCACTTCCTGTTTTCATACACACCTCCAAAGTCCCGTCCTGTTCCAACGCCCCGGCCAGGAATTCATCGCTGTGCCAGAAAGGGTGACAGGCGGGAGGATGCTGCCTGTGACTCTGCTCCAGACCCTTCCCTTCGGGGTTAGTTGTTCATGGATGAAGGGCGACGTGACAAAGAGGTGTAGCAGGAGCTGGTGACGGTGGTGGCACCTGGCGCCTCTTAGCATGGTTTTCGTCTTTTCTCTTAGCAGCTAGCTCTCTTGGCTCTTCTCCTCCTTCTCCTGCCCCTTTCCTCCTCTTTCCCATATATTCTTCCCCTCTGCCCCTCCCATGCACCTGCTCGTCAGGGGTTATTTTAATGAAATATCCCAAAGGACCTCAGGCGGCAAAACCAATGGGAGCCTCCAAAGCTCTGGGAGAAGAGCACTCCGCTACTTAGGAAAGGAAATTGTGTCCTCAGATTGTGTTTCTCCACCGACTCCTTCTCTGGGCCTCACCGCACTACTGGAGTGCTTGGGGTCCTTGTTCATGCTTAGAACTTAAAGCATCCCGGCTGCATAGCAGGAGCAAACTATCCTTGTTATAGGAACTTGAATTGTTTTTGCATTTTCTGGTGCTTTTTAGATATTGTATTGTCATAGCTTTCTGCACTGTCTTGTTGCTTTAACTCAAAAGAAGGAACCAGGGATTCATACCACAGAGCATTTCAAAGGGAAAGTGCTCAAATAACACATCGCTTTGAAGTCCGTACCTCCGCGAGGTGAAGAGGGTGGAGGAAGAGCAAATTCCAATCTTTGCTGTCGATGCTATTGTTTTTGCTGGAGACAGTTTCCTCTAATGTTGAGGAACAGAACAGCCGCAGAGCTGTTTACTTTGTGTTGGCTGTATCTTGGCAATGGGAAAAGGGAGCGGCTTTTTTTGAAATTTCTAAATGAAAGCTTGGGATTTACAGAATGCAGAAAAAATGGCCTAAAGCGGTGAGGTCCACAGTGTTTTCAGGCCCCTGAACTTCTCCGTATGCTAAAAATACTTTAAGCATCTGCTTACTGCCCACTGAATTCAGCTAGCCAGTAAGCATGTGCTTAACTGCTTTGCTGAACAGGTCTGCTTTCCTGAATGAGGGCCAAGGTGCCCTTCTGATGTGAGAGGTAACTATAAAATGTAAAAGCAACCTGGTGGGGCTCCACATCTACCTGTGCCCCAGTTACAAATAAGCAGATGGGCTTTTTGTACCCAGATGGCAACCCAAGTCCCACAAGCCTGCATTTGGAACCTGTAAATCTATCCAAGCTCTTTCCTTCTCACTCTTTCTCACCTGTACTAAATAGTTAGAGGGCATTGAGGACCACTGGCAGAGCCCCACACTCTCCAGAGCCCTCTGGAGACTTGCCCTCATGCACTTGCTGGAATTTAGCACACAATCCTGTTTTTGAGGCATGATTAAGAATGGGATCCTGCTCTTTATCTAGTAGCTGTGGGTGCATACACCTGTACTAATTTTCTGGCAGTTAAGCCAACTTAACTTTTTTAAGTTGACTTAACTGTCAGACTGTACACATGTATATGGAGCAGAATCGACTTAAATGTGGTGTAAGATAATACATCTCCTAGGTGTCTTATCTTGAGTCTCATTAGGTAAGTCGACTTAGCTCTCAAGATGGCTGTCACCATGTCAAGCAGCTGTACATGTATACAGTCCAACGTGTGTTAATTAAGTTGGCTTAGATAAGTCACCTTATTTTAAGTCTACTTAATACATGTGTACGCACCCCATATTGGCTCTGCATTGTCAATGGGCATAGAAAGCCAAAAAAGGTATTGCCAGATGCTAGACGGGGAAGATTTGATTTCTAAATGCACAGAAACCTGTTGAAGACCAAGGGGCCAGTTTTTACACCATCTCTCTTTTTTTCAGAGTGGAACAGCACTTTATGGTTTTTTGGGGGGTGAGGAAGAGGAATTTGCTGTGTGTTTTACTGCCTGCCCTGTGTTGGCCCAAGAAGAGCCTGTCTCCCCCTATCATACATTCTGACATTTGCTTCCTTTATCAGACCGTCAGCAAACTGGTGATCCAGGAAGCCAACGTTTCCGTCATGTACAAGTGTGTTGCTTCCAACAAAGTGGGCCGAGATGAGCGGTTGATCTACTTCTATGTAACCAGTGAGTACCACAAATATGCCAGGGCAATTTCCATCCCTTCCATGGCCATCTGTCTGTCTGTCTGTCTGTCTGAAGGCCCTCAAATATCCAGTCCCAGGACATATGTGGCTTTGTAACACCTTAAGCTCCACCTGGAAAGCCATCAGGCCACTCAAGTTGATCCCAGAGCACTTGGGTCATGCACTTACCATGAGAAATTCCCCTTAACATTATGTGTTGGCATCAGCTGCCAAATCAGTTCAAGGCATGACCCCACGGAGCAGCCTGCAGCAGGTCCATCTCAAGGTCCTGGCAGCAAACTCAGCCTCAAAGTAAAAAATCACTATCTGCCAGCCAGGGCTGCTGCTGCAGGCTTTTACTCAGCTGGTACTTGAAAAACGGTGCCCATGCTGGCATCTTCAGGGACTCAAAACGGTAGTGTGACTGAGAGTCCTTTCTGTTCCTCTTGCAACTTTCCTGCCTGCCTCCAAAGGAAGAGTTTGCAGCCTTGTTCTGTCACAGCAGCAAAATTGGAGCGTGCGGCTCTCAGGTGTGTCTGGTGTAAGATCTCCCCCTAGTGCTGTATGCCCCAACTGCACTGGCCCAAAGGGGTTGTGCTCCATTCCCAAGGCGCTTGGTGGGAGTGCAGGGAAGAAGTGAATCCCAGAGAGCTGTGGTTAAAGTTTGGAGACTGCCAGAACTGGCTTAAGGCACAAAAAGGACAGGGAAATGCAGTATAAGAGGCCCTTATATAGGCCTGACCAGCATTCCCCCTTGCTAGACAGGCCCAAGTCCTGCAGAGTCTGGGATTTTTGCAGGATGTCCTGGTGGTGCGGATTCAGAGTGCTCTTGAGAGTACAAATGGTTCGGGGAGGGGGGAGACTGGTCTTCATCCCTATGTGTAAAGAGCCCGTCACAGCCCCATGAATAGCAACAAGAGTTGTTGTTTGTGTGGGCAGGTAGGCACTTACCTTGTCTGCATACACACCTCGTCAATGTGCAAAGGGTGGGTGCAAGCACTTTTTTAGTGGAAGCAGCTTAGGACCCTGTTTTAACACTTAGGGCCCCGCCATACATTCAAATGAAAGCTGGATAGAAACCAGTGGTAAAGTTGTTACCCTCTTTCAAGAAGTCACTTTATAGTGGGTTGGCCCTTTTCATAGCTGGATAATCATTTTTATCTCATGATAATTACTTTGCTCATGTGGGTGGTCTAAATTTATTGTGCAATTCATTGTGTGATATATGTAATGTGTAGCAGGAGCCTTAGACTGACCGCAAGGTTCAGACCTCCCAACCTCGCTGGACTTGTGACCTGGTCTTAACTTGAGCTCAGGACTTCAGTGCATCACCTGCGACCCCTCCTAGCTGTAGTTATTTCTTGCCAAAACGTGGAAGCTGCAGCTGTGCTCTGGAAAGATTTCTTTGTACAGGGTGGATTCGGGGAGTTCAGCACAGTTACAATTCTACCCTGTAAGGCCATTCAGTTCAGATGAGCCATAAATCTCAGCCACACATGCCTTGTTTTCCTGGCAGCCATTCCAGATGGATTTAAGATAGAGACTCAGCCATCGGAGGAGCCCGTTGAGGGGCAAGACCTCCAGCTGAGCTGCAACGCCGACAACTACACCTACGAGAACCTGCAGTGGTACCGGCTGAACCTCTCCAAGCTACACGATGAGGAAGGCAACCCGCTGGTGCTCGACTGCAAGAACGTCCACCACTATGCCACCAAGATGCAAGGGGAGCTGCACTTCAAACCCGACTCCAACGATGCCACCCTGCTGCTCTCCATTCCCAACATCTCGCTGGGCGAGGAGGGCGACTATGTTTGCGAGGTCCAGAACCGAAAGACCCGAGAGAAGCACTGCCACAAGAAATACATCTCGGTTCAGGGTGAGGAGCCAGGGTTGGGGAGGACAGGGGGCATGCGCAAAGCCTAAATGGGCCCCATGTGCTGGGGTGGTAAAAGGGGGACAAGGCAAGGGACAGGCTTTGCATAAATGTGCAGAGCAAGGGACATGGAGAGGACCAGGAAGGGCTGGAGCAAATGGGCCATTAGCAGCAATGGCAAGCTTGCAGCACTGGTGTCTCCGCCAGCAGAAGCTGGAGCCTCTGCCATTGCTCTATATAGCCCCTTCTTCCCCCTTTGTAGACTCCTTTCCCACTCCCATAGGGGTCCAGGTGTTTTCAGAGCAATAAAGCTCCTGCCCTTCTTCAGCCTCCTCTTTATTTGCATGCTGCTCCTTTAGCCCTGGAGATCCCCAGACTGAAGCAGAACCTGACAGACATCTGGGTGAACGTCAGTGACTCGATAGAGATGCGATGCAAGGTGGACGGCAATCACATTCCTGCCATCAGCTGGTACAAGGATGAGAAGCTGGTGGAAGAGGTCTCAGGTACATCTGGTTTGCAGGGGTGGAGCAGAAGGTGGGGGGGGTCTGCCTCTACAGGACTGCCAGGCATATCTGCTACCATATGTGGATGTGGCCTAGACTCTAGGCCCCTGTGCTGCACAGCAGGTCTGGAACAGGGTTGGATGTTAGGTTCCACCATGATTTGACTGTGTCTTCACTGGCCGAGCACATGACACCAGGACCTGACTTGAACATAGGTGCATTTGTACTGTGCCTGTGCATAGCTGGGAAGCTAAGCTCGGAGGCCTGTGCAGACAGGGTCTTCTTATGCGGGGTGTCAAACCACACCAGGGACTAGTAGCATTAGATATTGTCTGCACTCCGTCAACTTCTAGTCAAACTAGAGCACAGCTCTTACAAGGCACCCAGCTTTGAGTTGGAAACATTCAGAGATGGGGACTCCACTGCAGCCCTGGGCAAGAGGCCCCACTTGCAAATGACCCTTCCTATATAAAGCATATGCCTTATGTTGAGTCTGAGTCTATCTAGCATGAGGCTCTCTTCCTTTCCGGGCCCGCCCCAGCCAACCCTGATACCCGCAGTCCTCTGCACCTTTCAGGCATTGACCTGGCAGATTCCAACCAGAGGCTGAGCATTCAGAGGGTGCGAGAAGAGGACGCTGGCCTCTACCTGTGCAGTGTCTGCAACGCCAAGGGCTGTGTGAACTCCTCGGCCAGCGTCTCTGTGGAAGGTACCGTCAGCTACCCCAGCCATTAGATGCATGGGGAACAGTCTCTTGAGGCTTCGGGTGGGGGTGCAGACAAGGGCCCCTACTGCTTCCATGGGCTTCAAGGGAGCTGGTGCAGTGGGCAGTCGGGAACAAAGGCACCTTGGTCTTGCTGAAGAGAAGACATCATGAGGAGAGGGAACGAGCATGCCACTGAGTTGCTGAGCAGTGTTCTCCACAGACATGCAGATGTGGCTCACTCACAAGGTGTTGGACCATGCCGAGGGCTCTCTGATGGGAGGCAGGGCTCTCACAGCAGCACCTGTGCTTAGCTCAGTGTGAGGGGAATGCACTGTCTCATCTCCTCCAACCCCTGCCTCCTCATGTGTCCCGGGGCACATGGCAAGGGTGGGCCAGGCTGGGGCGGAGAGTGGTGAATGAGCATCTTCCTGATCCCACCGTTGTCGTCCCCCCCACACACAGGCTCCGATGACAAGACCAACGTAGAGATTGTCATCCTCATTGGCACGGGGGTCATTGCCGTCTTCTTCTGGATCCTCCTCATTCTCATCTTCTGTAATATCAGAAGGGTGCGTTGTGGGGGGAGAGGTGGAGGAGGGCAGGTAGGAGTGAGAGAGAGGAGCTCAAAAGCCTCTTGCATGTCCTGGAGGGAGGGCATAGCAGCTGAAGGGACCTTTCCAGCAGCACCTGCAGAAACCTTATTCTCACGTCACTGATGGGACGTGCACTGTATGATTCCCTGGGCTGGTTTGTTTCCAGGTACAGTGGCCACAAGGCTGGGGAGAAGGAGGAGGGGTAGCCTTGGCATTGGACTAAGGGCACAGAGCACAGGATCTGAGGGGAAGTAGGAGATCCCCTTCGAGCAGACCTGAGGGTCAGGTGTTAGGGCACCATACAGCTGGGGGGGTGCCTTCCCACTGGAAATGAGACTGACTCCCTATCTGTTGGCTCCTGCAGCCCGCCCATGCTGACATCAAGACTGGCTACCTGTCCATCATCATGGACCCCGGCGCAGTGCCCCTGGAGGAGCAGTGCGAATACCTGCCTTACGACTCCAGCAAGTGGGAGTTCCCCCGGGAGCGACTCCGCTTAGGTGAGGGGCAGCCAGGCACTGCAAGCTCTGGGCTGTGCCTGGGGGCTGAGCTCTCCTTCTGTGTGCCCTGCCTCCTGCCAGCATCGGGTCCCCAGCTTCTGTCCCCAATGCAGGGCTCAGAGATGGCTCTGGGTACACTTGGCCACCACCCTTGGGCATGCTGTAGGCTCCTGGATTTCACTGCCTTGTTTCTCCGGGGCTCCTGTATACCTGGGTTTTAGGGCTCACCCTGTAGCCATGGCCAAGTCCCCAAGATCAGCCCACTCTAGGGCCCTGCTCTCCTTGCTCCCTGTGAAGCAAAGGTGCCAGAAGCCCAGGGGCTTCCAGGTAGCCCAAGGCTCCTTTGCTGAGGGAGCATGCTGGAGGAGGGCAGAGGCATTCCAGCTGAGGCATGCCCCCTGCCCCATCACCCCAACACCCGCACCCCCTGTCCCCACTTCCACTTCTTGCGCAGCCTCCGGAGGGTTGAGAGGGCTGCATGTGGGAATGCCGGGGGCTGGAATAGCACCATCCGCCCTCGCCATTCTGCTCCAAGGTGTCGCACTCACCTTTCCCACAAACTCCACTCGGGGGCAACAAATGGTGCCTCACCTCAGCAAGCGATTTCCTTCCTGTGCTTTGTCAGCGCTGGGTCTGTCTCCGCTCCCCCATTCATCCTTTCATGACGGCCTCCAGAGAGGCAGCGACCTGGGCAGTGCAAATGCTCTACTCTTTCCCCTTCCTTTTTCATCCCTTTTCTCTTCCTCCCAGTTTCCTGTTTTGTTTTTGTCCCACTGTCCTGGCGTGGCCCCAGGTGAGCCACCTGTTCTCCCATCACCAGGAGAGGCGCTGCTACCTTCCCTCTGTCCTTCTCTTCCTGGCAGGTAAAGTCCTCGGCCATGGTGCCTTCGGGAAGGTGGTGGAAGCCTCCGCGTTTGGGATTCATAAGAGTAACAGCTGTGAGACTGTGGCAGTCAAAATGCTGAAAGGTATGGAGCCAAGGAGGCTGGGGCAGACAGCAGGGGAAGAGCTGGCTGCTTGGCTAATACCTGTCTTACAGAAACCACTCTCAGTGATTTAGATGAATCCCTTGTCACCTCTCCAGCATCCCCCTGTGCTCACGTGGTGAGAGCCCCCAGGTCTATGCAGCCCTCGGCAGAGGATGGGAGGTGCATGGGGCTGTAAAGGGAACATGCTTCCTTCAACTTCTAGGTCTCTGGGCTTTGAGCCCCTTGCTCCCATTGGCCTCTGCTAGAAGGCATCCTGTCCCCATGCGGGTGCACTGGTAACGCTGCAGAGGAGGGAGGGCCAGCTTTACAAGGTATGCAGAAAGCTACCTTGAGGGACTGTGTCTGACTCCCACTACAGTCCTGCTGGTCCTGCCCTGGTGGGGGTCCAGCTGAGGCATAGCCAAGAGTTTAGGGGTGCTGACCATTTACCTCCTTGCACAGGTCTTGCTGCTGCCACAGTACAAGTTCCCCAAATGCTAACCGTTGCTGCAGGGACAGGAGCAGTGGTGGGGGCAGTTTGGGCTCCCTTAAACGGGCACTTGGCACTGGTGTCCTGCTTGCTACCCTGAGTTATGCTGCTGGAATTAGGCAGCTCAGGTGCTTTTGCAAACCCAATTAGACGCCTCCTTGTACCATTAGGTCTTGTCCAGGCTGGCCTGGCAGCACGCGGGAGCCCTCCACACCTGCTGCCCCCCAAAAGGCCAGTAATGTTGCCACCTGCATGCAGTGCTGCCATTCAGCTCTGCTGTGGCAGGCATCTACCAAGCTGGCCACATTGCTCCCATTTCAGGAGGTAGCATGTGCAGAGCAGGCACCGAGCACCTCGGTGTACAGTGCTCTGTGTTCCAGCAGTGTAGCCATGCGCCCAGGACCCTGGGATATCCAGCTTCCAGTTTAAGTTCCTGAGGACTGCAAGGAAATGCTCCTTCCCTGCTCTGCTTTAGGGACTTGGATGGCCTTACTGACTCTCAGAGGAGAGAGAGAGAGACAGTCCTGAGCTTGACGTTTGGCCTGTGACTGACAAGGAAGCTGCTTTTCATAGAATCATAGAAAATAAGGCTGAGAGGGAACTCAAGAGGCCATCTAATCCAGCCCTTGCTCAGCAGGATGGGCTGTGTCTAAGCCATCCCAGACAAATGGTTGTCCAACCTGCACTTAAACCTGCCGGTAATGGAGATTCCACAGCCGCTCTAGCTATTCTAATCCTTGCTTTCAAAGGGGATGGCATTTTGTGTTTAAAGATCGAATGCAGAGGTGCGAGAAGTAGGTTGCAATTCTCTTGAAATCAGGAGAGGTTGACCTGCCCTGCACCTGTCAGACACAGGCCCTGTCTTGGCATGCTGCTGATTTGAGGTTTCCAACCTGTGACTACATTTTCCAGCAGGCCTCTGCAGCATCACCCTCCTGTCCTGGATGCTTAAAAACACTCCACATTATTTGAGCACACTGGGCACCACATATATGTGCAACCCCTAAGGCAAAGGGCCCTGCACACACAGATAGGCATTAGCATGTGGAAAACATTGATCTCAGTGCCCATTTGCATACGAAGGTGCACACACAAAGTCTGTGGGAGTAATTGCAGAGGCCTGTTTGAAAGCAAGACTGTGCGAACATTGATTGCAATTCCTCACCAGGCACTAACATTAGCTCTCTTCCAACACGTCAGACTCTCTTTGGAAAGGCCCTTCCCTGCCCCACTCCAAGCAGGGAGAATTTCTGTGGCCAAACTGCTCTGAATAGCAAGCCTTAGATCTGCTTAAAACAGGAGGAAGAAGCAGAAAATGCTCACCAAAAAAGAGATGCATCTCAGTGCATGAGTGTAGCTGAGTCATGGAGCAACAACACAACACCTGGAGCATAAATAACTATTGAAGAGCAATCACTGCCGCCGCTTGCATTCTCTAGAGAAAAACTCTAGGGACAAAGAGTTACTCAAACAATGTGGTTAATATAGGAAATGAATTAAAGAATAAACTTCTGAGTCTGAACCAAGTCAGAGACTCTAACCCCATTGTAGCTGTCTACAGCCAGGCTCTGAAAAACCCAAATTTATTTTGTTTCTGGTTTTCCTTCAAAAGGTTTATGGCTCATTATCTCAGTCCAAGAAGTCAATAGGCCAGGTTAGAAATGCGTGGACACGTGTATGCAGACCTGACTTGGTAATTTGTCCCTCTACCAAGTGGATTTAAACACTTCCAGCTACCACTAGCAACAGTTTGTTGGTGCAGGTTGCGTTAGCTTTGGCTGCAGTTTTCAACAGCAGTAGGCTGACCTACCATAACTTAGACTAGCGATACAGCTGGGCGGGGTGGAGGAGTCTACCTGTCGTATTTTTATAAGCCAAGGTAGTAAGACTTCGTCTACACTGGTGCTACAGCCTTGCTAACAGGAACCATGTTTGACACAATTATGATTTGGGCCGACGTTGTTTTGAGGTTACTGGGGATAGGGCCTTGGGGAAAACAAGGGTGGAGGAAGACACTTTAATCCAAGGGGATCCATAATCTGGTGTGTATTTTTCCAGAGGGAGCTACTGCAAGTGAGCACAAGGCACTGATGTCCGAGCTGAAGATCCTCATTCACATTGGAAACCACCTCAATGTTGTTAACCTGCTGGGCGCCTGCACTAAACCCAATGGTAAATATCCACCGGCACTGGGACAGCTGGCTGGGAAGTGAGTCCAGAGTTCTTCCGCCTCATACAGTGCATCATTTCCCCTGTGAGTGCGACAGCAGAGGAGCGTGAGTGTTGGGATGCATTGGTACACGTCTGGGAGCGCATGTGATGGCGTGTCTGCTGAGCAGAATGGAATTACGCATGGAGGAAGTCAGGGCAGATTTAGCTCCCCGTCCAGGAAACTGCTGACACCTTTGTTTCTTCTCTCGAGGCCCCCTCATGGTGATTGTGGAGTTTTGCAAATATGGAAACCTCTCCAACTACCTGCGAACCAAACGAGAAGGATTCAGTCCTTACAGGGTGCGTGGCCTGTCTTACCTTGCAGGGTGTTGGCAGACCTTTCCCCATGGTTAGGGAAGGAAGAAGCGTGCAGATGGCTTGGAGCAAGCCTGGGTCTGATGGTCAGATGCAATGAAGCCTCACGGCTAGGCATGTGCCTGTTCCCTGTGATGGTGCTGCCAGATGGGTGAATGCAGAGTGTGCATCACTTGCTGCCCAAGGGGGGATTGGTGCTTCCAGGCCAGGGTGGGGTCCCTTTGGCAGACCAGAGCTGGGAAGCGTAGGGTACAAAATGTGGTGACGAAATCTCTGCTGTGCATCTTACGCTGAGCTGTTTGCTTTAAAGGAGAAATCACCCAGACAGCGCATCCAGGTCCAGTCCATTGTCGAAGCCGTGAGAGCAGACAGGAGGAGTCGCTCGGGTACCAGCGACAGTGCAATCTTCAGCAGGCTTCTGATGAGCAAGAGCCAGACAGCACAGCCAATACAGGAAGGTGAGTAATCAGCCCTGGCCTTCACCATTTGCTGCCTGTTTCATCCCATTAAATTAGCGCCATGTTTAATTACCACTGAATCATTAGGGTATCTGTCAAGGTGCAGCAAGGAGCCCTGACTAACAGGGACAGGGATCTCCAGTGATGTTGGTTTGACTGCTTTCCTTGCCTTAGCTGGAATCCTGTGGCCTCTTGTGATAGCGTGTGCTCTGAGGTTACCAAGCTCAGTATGCTGTGATTAGTGCTGTCTCTGAACAAGCTTGGCAACTTGTTTAAGATGCAGAATAATCCTTAAGCTCTTACTGACAAAGAGCTTCCCACCTGGAGCTCTCAAAAGCTTCACAGCGTCGTTCCCAGTGTGCAAATGGGGAAACTGAGAAAGAGGAAGATGAGAATGTCCCTCCTGGGGGCAGAGAGCAGAGCTGGGAACAGAGCCCAGATCTCCTGACCAGATGCTTTGTTCAGGTTCCTAACTGGGGTGACCAAGTCACATGGGGGACCAGTGACTTCCTTGTGGTTACACAGTAAGTTCCTCTCCCCATGTGATGCCAGCCCATGCATCTTCCTCCTCCTCATGTGAGCAAAGATACAGAGAAGTCCCAGAAAGAGAGATGGTGCCCACTCCTTCCTCCCTCTAACTGTTTGTGGTCATGTGTTCTTGTTAGTTTGTTGTACCCATCTTTTCTCTCTATTAATAAACCCAGATCGTGCATTCTTTGAGCCAGCAGCAGCTTTTTATGCATGAATAGTGTCTGGTGCAATGGGGCCCTAATCTGTCAGGACCTCAGATCCTACTCAATACTAACAAGCAACTGTAGTAATCAGTGGTTCCTCTGAAAGCACCCTCTCCCCCAAGCTCTGTGGATTGGCACAGGCTCTGTCAATCCTGATTGAAAAGCATCAGCTGCAGGAGGCTTCTTCCTTGACTTGACCAGCCTTCCTTAGTGAACACTTCATCGTCTGAAGTGGTCGCAGGGAAAACGCTGGACACATGATTCTCATCATTTTTAGACTCAAAGCTCTCTTGAGTAAACTCGGGCACCCCTTAGGAGTCTCAAAAAATACCAGCTCTTAGTTTTCACTCATTTTTTGGCTACAGAAATATAGTAGAGCAATTCTTCTGTTGCAAAGAAGTCAGAAAAATCACAACAGGGCAGAATGTTTTTAACACTCTGGATTCCTATTTGAAGTCTATGAGCTTATCTTGTGAATTATGTTTGCACACCTAGCCATGCTACCACTGCATGGCACCCTACAGCACTCCTGAAAGGATCTTGAGGCACCCCAGTTGAGACTCACTGTTCTAGACTATAGCTGGTCCTCTTAAGAAATAGGCTCCATTAAACATCCTGGTAGTTTGCCGAGGTACTGAGCTCATCCAGCAGTTCTGGAGGCAAGCTGGGGTGGAAGGTGAAGTCTATCAGCCAGGGAAGATAACGATTTTTTTCTTTCACTTCTGGGACAGTGGATGATTTGTGGCAAAGTCCTTTAACTATGGAAGACCTGATCTGCTACAGCTTCCAGGTGGCACGGGGCATGGAGTTCCTAGCATCTAGAAAGGTGAGCTTGCTTTATGTATCCTGATTCTGTTTTATATCTCTCTGTCTTGATAGGTCTTTCAAGATATCCATATAATAGAAATGAAGATATGAGAGAGAGACAGAGTGTGTGTGTGTGTGTGTGTGTGTGTGTGTGTGTGTGTGTGAGTACACATCTCTGTGTCTGCTCTCCATCTCTAAAATGGCAATGGCATTTTTCTGTCTGTATTGATATATCCTCATGAAACCGTTGCACTGGAAGGAACTATTACCATCGCCATTTTATAGATGGGAAGCTTGCACTGAGAGAAACGAAAGGACTTGCCCTGACCTCGTGGGAAATCTGTGGCCAAGTTGGGAAGACAGCTGATTTCCTGAGCCCTGCCCTGTCCCTTAATCATACAACCAATCTTCTTTTGAATTTTTATCTTTCCCCTCTTGCCAAAACCCCCAAACCAGAATGCTCTGGTTTCCAGAAAGGGGGAAGCAGGAATCATTTGATTCTGCTTTGGGTTTCATATTTGTTCTGATTCTGCCTCAAGTGCCCTGAGCATGATGCATATTCATTTGCTCTTGGGAGGTCTGCTTCTTCCTTGTGAGCCCCCTGGAGTTGACCGCAGGTGTCCAGAAGTGAAAGAGTTTCTAGGGGCAGGTTCCCTGCTTTCATGGCTACAAGCGAAGTGAGGGGGAGATGCAGCAGTTTCTCTGCCTCCCTTGGCTGATCCTGCACAAACGCCACTCATTCTGATCTTGCCCCTCTCTTCCTATTCTCCCCTAGTGCATCCACAGAGATCTAGCAGCGCGCAACATCTTGCTGTCAGAGAACAACGTGGTGAAGATCTGCGACTTCGGTCTAGCCCGGGACATCTACAAGGACCCCGACTATGTCAGGAAGGGCAGCGTGAGTAGAGGGTCTCAGCTTATGCACATCTGGATTGGGCCTGGGGCTATCCTGTGGGTGGTAAATACAAAGGAGGAACAGAAAGAGATGACTGGGCAAGAGAAAACTTAAGTGATCTGTCCCTCAGTGGGAACATGATACTTAGTGATTGATATATTTACAGCTATCGCCACAGAACAGGGATGTAACATTCTGATGCATGGATGTTCCTTCTCCCTTAGCTGACATCCATCCTTATCCCTTCTGCCCATGAAAGTCTGGGGTGGGGGAGCTGTTCTGGGTCTCATTTCTCACACTGGTACCCATAGCTCTGTTCCAGGTTGCAAGGATGACCGTATTCCTATGGCATGTCTCTGTCCCACAGGCTCGCCTTCCCTTGAAGTGGATGGCTCCAGAAAGCATCTTTGACAAGGTCTACACCACCCAGAGTGACGTCTGGTCCTTTGGAGTCCTGCTCTGGGAGATCTTTTCTCTAGGTCAGTGCTGAGATGGGAGGGTACCATGCACTTCCGAGGGAGATCTTCCACAGAGCAGGCTCGGCAGGCAGGCCATACAGGACAGGTGGCCTTTTCAGCAGTACATCTGAAGGAGAGGTGGAAAAAGAAAGACTGCACCTTCCAGTGTGAGACAGAGTGTAAAGGAAGTGGATGGAGAGTGAAGCAGCATCATACCTGCCTCTTCTGGGGTTTTGGGAGGTGGGGTTGGGTGAGGACAAGATGTAGGTGTTCTGCAGATTTCATTTTCCCTATTCCTTATCATCTTTGAATTTTCCTCTCTAGGTGCCTCCCCTTACCCTGGAGTCCAGATCAATGAGGAGTTCTGCCAGAGACTCAAGGATGGTACCAGGATGAGAGCTCCTGAATACGCCACGGCAGAAATGTGAGTGGGACGCTTCCGACTCAAACCACAGAGCCAAGAAGGCTGAGGGAAGGTCACCCATGCTGGATAGATGCCCTTTCTCTTTCAAACAATGTATTTGCAACTCTTTAGCCTGTGCCCCAGAAAGCATCATCTCCAGGGAAGAAGTTGAAGACAAATAAACCTAAAAGGATGCCTGAGTCAGAGATGCTTAGGACAGCTTGACTTCAGGCTTCCTTCCATCCATGGTAGCCAAATCGGGATGGTGTTGTAGACGGCTAGGTATTCACCCGAGAGATATCATTCGCTCCATCACTGGGCTGTCACCACCTGTCTAAGCAGCCCTTGCATTCAGCTGAGGACCACAGGCTGCCTGAGAAGGGCGAGTTTTATGAAAAGTGAGCATTGTTTCCTCTTGGCAGTTACCGCATCATGTTGAGCTGCTGGAATGGGGACCCCAAGGAGAGACCCACATTCTCAGACCTGGTGGAGATCTTGGGGGATCTTCTACAGGAGAACGTCCAGCAGGTGAGGCTCTCACAAACCGTCACAGCCCAGCACAGTGCTGGGCCCGGTTCCTTCAAGCAGCCCTTTCTTCCTTGCACTACTAGTTATTCACCTCTCGCCTACAACCTCCTCTGACACCATGCGTGTGTGTGTTTGTGTGTGCATGCATGTGCATGTGTGGACAGATGAACAGATGGTAAATCTGTATAGCAACATGGGAAATACACGGAGGGACACGTGCTGAGGTTCAGACTCACGCAGTTGTTATCTGTATCACTCTGTGACATGCATGTTTCACTGTAGTCCCCAGCACAGCATTGCTAGCTGCTTGCTGGGAGTATAGCCAACTTCTTGTTCTTTCTCAGTTGCCTCCACGTTACGGAGTTTTTAAGCTGCCTTTACCTCCTGGCAAGTCCCTGCCTCTACCAGGCACCAATAATGAATACCAGGCATTAGCAAGGCTTTTTGAAACTGTATCTCCAAATTTGAATGTCATGGACACGCAGACCAACCAATTATCCTATTAACCATTAATGGTGATATACAGATGTATCTACACATGCTCCTAATTACTGCCATGCAGTAGTTGATCAGATCTGATTTGCCATGCAGTGAACGTGCAGCTCTGGTTTGTAGTTTCCTTGTTCATGCTTCAAAATTAACCCTTTCGCTGCTGTGCCCCAGGGCAAATGCATCCCAGGTACAGCTGCAGGCCTTCCAAATGCTGATGTCCCATTGGTGTATCAGGGGCACAGCAGGCATAACACACTGCAGGTGCTGGCCAGAAGTCAGCACAGTACAGCAGCACATCCGATGCACAAGACATCCCCAGTATGGGCAGGGGGTTGGTTTCTGTGCACTGTACATAGTGTCCATTGTGGCCTACAGGCTGCAAAGGGGCTAACAGCGAACCCTGGGGTAAATGTCAGCAGAATGAGTGCTGCACCTGCTTTCTACCAACATCCCCCCAAGAGAAAAGCTGAGGAGCTGCATCCTTTCCAAGATAGGGGACTAGCTACTTTCTTTCTCCTTGCTGTTCCTCCAATGCACACACATCAGCACATACTCACAGCCCCCGTAACACACCCAGCCTCCTCCCTCACTGGGCTCAAGGGAGATGGTTTTGGCCTGCCTGCTCCTGGTGTTTTCCATGCACCTCCTCACCTGTGTTCTCTCCCACCAGGAAGGGAAGGATTACATCCCACTGAATGACTCGCAGAGCTCGGAGGACGACGGCTTCTCCCAGGTGCCTTCCTCTGCCCAGCAGAACTCTGACGAAGAGGAGTTTGACATGAGGATACGCTGCCACAGTTTAGCAGCAAGGTGAGTCCCTGGTGCCTCCTGGGAAGTGTCTTGGTGGAAGAACAAGGTTCCTTGGGTGAATCTGATGTCTTTTATTAGACCAACCCAAATAGTTGGAAAAGAATTATTAAGCAAGCTTTTGGGTTCAAAAACCCTTCGTCAGGCTAAGGACGTTTCAGCAGTTGGTGTGTGCTCTTCCTGGAGAAAGAACCCTGCCAGGAGCTGATCCCATAATGGTGCCCTTTGGAAAATCTCCATAGAGCTAAGCTTTGGGGATGCCCTTTAAGCAGATCTGAGTCCGGTGCTGGGAGGCAGAGCTTCCTCATTGTGTTCCTGGTGACCAGCAAGAGGCCTCACGCCTGAGCAGATCATCTGCATCGACCTCCCACCACCAGCAATGCACTCTAGACCCTGGATTCCTATGCCAGGGAACTACCTGTCTAGTTTGTCTCTGCCAATCCATCAGGTGCCTTCTTTTGTCCACTTTTAAGTGACTCAAGAGATGGGTCCTGTGCCTCAACCCTTGGGAGGCTGTTCCATGATCAGAGGGCAGGGTTTGGACACTATTGATGCATGGAAAATTTCCTCTCTTATCCAGTGTCTCTCTCACCACAGACCCACAGTATCTCTGGTGGCTAAGCTCTAGGAGATGGCTAAGGAGCTGAATAGCCAAGGTGTGTAGGATGACGGAAAGCTTTTGGTGACTGGAGTGCCTGCCCGGTTGCCTCCCTCCCTGATGGGTGCTTCTCCGTCACCGGAGGAGCAGTGCCCCAGGCCTCCATACAAAAAAACTACAACTCTTGGTTCCAAAACGATACCCATTATTAGACCAACTGGGAAATCGCAAGAAAAGTGTCCAGCCGATTTCCCAGTTTTGGTCTAATAAAAGGTATCATTTTGGACCCAAGAGTTCTAGGTTTTTGTATGTCTTCTTGTCTCAGACCAACACGGCTACCAAGTACACCCCAGGCCTCCATGCCACTGTGTTAAAAGAAGAAGGTTAGCACACAGCACTGGGGTCCTGAGGTGTCTAGAAACTGCCAGAGCCCCCCGAATGCCTGTGAGAGTTGCCTGCTCACCAAGATAAGCTCTTTGAGGGGAGCCCAAGACCGGTGACCTTTCGCAGAGCATGAATCTAGAGAGTGGCTTATTCGTTTTCTCATGTGCTGCCTGTTTCTGTTGACAGATACTACAACTGCGTGTCATTCCCCGGCTGCCTGACTGGGGGGAATCAGATAAGGTGTCCGTCCAGAATAAAGACATTTGAGGAGTTCCCCATGATGCACACCATGTATAAAGCACATCCGGTGAGCGCAGCCTGGGGGACAAGGGCAAGTGAGGGAAGCGCATTATTTTCTGGCCCATTCACTGTGAGATAGACAGAGGAAGAGTTGTTACCCATATGCGGTCTATCTGTTCATCTCTGTACTACCCGGTCCAGCTCCTGCATGTTTGTCACCGTCATGTACAGCATTTCTGTAGAGCCATCGCTGGCCTGTCTGAGTGTTGAATAGATAGCTTAGAAATTACATTAACTTCCATTTTCCCACAGTTTCAAAAATTAATTCCCCAGCTACTGAGGGGCCTTGTCATAAAAATGCTGGGTACCACACTGTTTGCTGGGACAGGTTGTACCTTCAGGGAAAGGAAGCGAATGTTCAAAACCAGTCGCCTAAAGTACACACACACACCCTGCATTTGAAAATGTGACTTCCAGAGGCTGCTTCTGAAAGCTGAGGCCCACTGAAACCACAGCATCCCCTGGCAAAAACGTCTCCCACCTCCCTCAGCGCTGCCACCTCTCTAGCAGATAGCTCTGGTGTGTGCTTTCATGAATGATGCTTTCCACCCCACGATGCCAGCAGGAGTGGAAGGACCACTTGGTAGGGCTGGTACTGATAATGCTCCCTTGCTTCCACCCAGGACAATCAAACGGACAGTGGGATGGTTCTGGCCTCTGAGGAATTTGAGAGGATAGAAAACCGACACAGAAAAGAAGGTGGATGCAGGTATCTCCTACTTGGACCCCCTTGGCTGAGTTCTGCTGCCTGCTTTATGCAGGGAGCAGTGCTTCTCTTGGTTGCCTCCCCATAGCCTTGCTCCTAGCAGCTGCATTCCTGGAGCCCTTTGCCAGGAGAGGCCTGAGTGGGCACACTGCTTTTGCAGGAGCAAAAGGAATAAGCATTAGAAAGTGGTAAAATCCTATACCACCTCCTGCTATTCCAGGGCCAGGCCCTTTCTGTATCCCTTCCCATTCTATATTATGGCTAGTTTCCAATATCCAGAAGTTGAGACTGAGACCACATCCACTTCTCACCTTCCCAGAATATCCCTTCTCTCTCCAAAGGCCAGTGCCTTGTGTTAGAGGGTGGAGGACAGGTCTGCCCCATGCAGGTATGCAACCTGACTGGCACGGCCTCCAGCTTGCCCTGCCCATCTGCTCCCACCCACACTCTCTAAACTGGGAAATGTTCCAATAAAGACTCTCCAGGATCCAAAGAGTGAGGTCACGAGAGCAGCTGCAGAGGGTCAACCCAGAACAACAGCACAATGCACTTCTGGGTTTAGAGCATGTGTGCAGGGTGTGTCAGAATGGTCCCGCTGGGACATGCTGCCATTGGGGCAGGAGGAGGGCAGAGAGGCCTTGCATGAGCTACACATAAGTTTGCTCTGGCAAAACCCAGCCCCTGAGTCTGCAGCTGTGTACCCTCCTCCATCACCTTGGACTCAGCATCCTTGCCTTGCCTTTTAGACCCTTGGGCATTTAGCCCCAGCCTGTCCTCCAGACATGCTAACACGTCAGCCTGCTCTCAGGGACACACCAGCTTTGATCGTTGCCTGTTCACTCATCCCTCAAGCATCAGCACATTTCCTTCCAGGCCACAACTGCACCGGGGAAGATCTCCTGCCAGACTTCCCAGAGGCACTCCTCTTCCTGAATATATCCTTGAAGCCTTCCTCTGTCATTAGCTGCCCAGTGGCCTTAGACAGGGGGGAGCTGAGGTTTCTGTTTTCCTGCAAAACTTTGTGTTGTGCCTTTGTCTTCCCTCTCTTCCCACCTGTCTGTCTGTCTCAGCCACCAATTGCATCCCGTCTGACACCTCAGCTGTGACCACGATGGGACAAGGGCTGTCTTCCTTGTTACTTGTCTCTACCTGATTGTCTTCCCAGGTGCTCTCTTAGAGCACAAATGCAGCTGCACCAGCCACTGTGCAGGGCTCTATAGAGACCAGTACAACCACTGAGCTGAAATAGCTGCCAGCAAGTGGCCCTGGGAGAACCGTTCGCACACACGCACACCCCCAAGTGTCAGGCCTGGTGCTGGGTTCAGGATTTAAATCTGGGTGCACAGTGTGTTTGTGCCCTAGGTGACCGGGCTGTTACCACTCTGGGCTATACTGTGTCATGCTCAGGCTGTTAGCAGACCCAGGTTCAGCTTGCTTGGACAGACTGTCGGCACACTCGGTATCAGCACTGGTTGCTAGCTTGCTTCTTCCTAGTAGCTTGGATGTGCTTTCTATTAGCATGCTGGGGATTAACTCCTCAGGGCCCCCCCGGCTGTTAGCTTGCTGGCATGGGCTGTTGGCAAGCATCCCCAGCCTGTTGGAGGCACTAGGTGTTAGCATGTGGGGTGTGGACACACCAAGCAAGTCTCTCTCTCCCGTTCCTGCCTTGGCAGCTCTTCAGGGGAGTCTCCCTGTTGCAGGGAAGCCTTGCAGAGAGTGATGGGGGCTCTTGGGGGCTGCTTGCGACTGATTCTCTGCACCTCTCTCCCCCTTGCAGCAGTAAAGGGCCCGGTTGGAACATAGAGCTGGCAGAGGAACAGTCGGACCTGAGGGGCAGGGCTCGGCCATCATGTCAGTCCCAGGTCAGAGGCCAGACTTTTTACAACAGTGAATATGGGGAGCTGTCAGAACACTCGGAGGATGGCAGCTGCACCCCCCCCGGGGAGGGGGCCAGCCCCTCCGCCCTCCAGGCATCCTTCTTCTCAGAGCAGTACTGACGGGCATGGGCAGCAAAGATGCCATGCCGAGACCCACCTTCCACACCCCCTGCTGCATCGCCACTGCCATACGGAGCTTCCCCCTCAAGCTTCCCCTTCGAGCTAGAAGGAACCCCAGCAGGAAACCCACGCAGAGAACAGGGAGAGAAGGAGAGACCCCTTTGGACAACGACTGATGCCGTGACTCAAGTTGCTGCCTTGCGGGGGGGACCCCTGAGCAGTGGGTGCAACGAGATCTGTCTGGGTCAGACAAGCAGGTGTCCCTCCCAAGCACTGTAGCCCTTCTCTTTGCATCCCGGCTCCATGCAGACAGGACTCCACTCCATAAGCCATGGTTCAGGTCAGATATTAATAGAACCGTCTCCATCCTGACATGCGGCCTGTGGGTATATGAAATTGTTTTCCTTGGACTGTCTTTTCTGCCTCTCCTCCCCACATCAGCCACTGAGGAAGGGGGCAGGATCAAAGGGAAGAAACCCCAACCAGCAGCAAAAGCAGGCCATTTCCCAGAGGCAGCTGGGCAGATCCCAGCCTCCCAGGGGATACCTACCCATGCCATCCCTTCTCCCCAGGTCCATCCCATCCCAGCATTCCTCTGGGAATAATGCCCAGGCCTGCTTTGAGTGTCTTACCAGGTGGGTTATTTTTGCCATCTTAAAGCAACGGGCCTGGAGATAGGCAGCAGCCAGTAGCTGAAGTCCTCCAGATGAAGTATTATTGAAGACCCTGTGAAAAAGCAGAGGTTTATCCTCTCTGTGCTGGCAGCAGGGAGCTAAGCAGCCTTTCCCCAGGGCTGTGCTGAGATCACTTGTTGCTCAGATAAGAAAATAAATGACAAAGCCATGTAAATCTCAGCTGGCTCTTCAAGGTAGAGGGAGAAAATCAGTGTTTGCTGGAAGGAAAAGGATCAAGCTGGCAAGGAGCAAGGCGTTTATATGCAAACTGCTGCAAGTGCTTTGCAAACAATGGGGGAGACCAAGCGGAAAGACAAGGCTCCTTTCCTTGCAGCACTTCATTTGCTGGCATTGCTGCACAAGTGGAAGAGAGAGGCATGTGCGCGGGGATCGGTAAGCACTATAAGCCTGGACAGACAAGCTTGCTCCCTATCTGTGAGCCCCACTTTAGGCAGCCACTACTCCAGCAGGCAACACCCCTTCTGCCAGGCTCCTCTGCAGCTCCTATGTCATGGCAGAGCCTCTGATGTGTGCCAGTCTCTCATCCCGGTAAGCTTTGCGGGTCAGCCATGAGGCTGGGTAGCAGTACCCCTATGTTCTTTAAGAGCTGCTTCAGTGGCTTTCTGTATATGCAAAACCACGTGAATGAAGATCTGGGGAATCTCTCTGCAGGTCCTTTGGGACATGTGTTGGTTCTGGTTCCCTGCCGTTCTCCACCTGCCTTTTCTCTGCTCCTAATGCATACAGGCACATCAGAGGCTCCTTCTGAAGAGGCTGGTTTGAGCAGCTTGTGAGCTTCCCTCCAGCATCTCTGATCCCTCATCCCCCTCCCTGCCAGAAGCTCCCTATCTCACTGGCATCTCAGCACCCAAGGAACTCTGCTTGCGGGCCAGGCTTCTTTGTATAGAATAAGGCGGGGTTGGGGCTTTGTTGTTGTTGTTGTGCCAGACACGTTTTTTCCAGACTCTGTTTCTTCCCTAAGAAGGCTTTCTGAATTTCCAAGCCTGTCCCTCATTGCCCATACCTTTCCTGCATTGGCCCGTGCCTTGTGGATGCACTCAGTGTCTGCTCTGTGTAATATCAGTTCTCCTCTGCCCACGTGCGGCTATTTTTCACTGGCCCCTTGGCAGAGGGGAGGTTATGCCTGCTTTGCACTGCTGAGGTCTTATATCTGCTTCAGGGCAAGCAAAAAACCAAGCTGAATGTAGCCCGCTCTCTCCAGGGCAGGCATCCTCCATAGCAGCCTGCCTTTGTCTATACATAAAACAGCAAGTAACACACTCTGCAGAAGGCCTCACAGCTTTGTGTATGGGATGGCTGAAATGTAGCCTTGTTTAAACAAGGTCCTAATGCAGCTCCACTCACCAGTGTGAACGCATGGGTTTGAAACGCATTATTTCCCTTCACAGGCAGTGAGCTTGCACTGCTGAGCAGTGTCTCAGCATTCAGAACATGCACTCACGCTATAACTGGTGTGCAGATACCAGCCTGTGGAAAGGTTACGGTATTAAAGTCCGTTGTCAGAGGTGACCTGGATGAGTCTCTGAATTTCAGTGGTGAGGAGCTGGAGTAATATTTAATTTTTATTGTTGCAGTCATTCAACATGGACAGAGGTTTTCTTTGTTGCCTATAGTTTGTACCATCTTGACTGGGGGGAAAAAATCCAATCCTATTGCATCTCCAGCAAGAGAAAGATATGAATAATGCACCCATAATATGAGCATGTACCGTGTGCTGTGCAGACGTGCCCTCTAATGAAGCATGAACGTAATGCATGAATCTGGACAGTCATAGTCAATTGTATTCTTGGTCTTTTACAACCATTCAAGCAAGATTCAAATTCTAGTTTCATAACGTGATGTCCTTTTCAGTGTTGTGGCCACCTCAGTGAGTATTAAACCTTCCAGAGTTTTACAAATCCACTTTTCTATTATTTCTTTCATTTTTTATTTGGCGCAGATCAGGACAACCAATGACATGAGGCTGGTCTGTCCGTTTTTTTGGCTCTGGTGTCCAATACTATTTGGGTTTTTGACAGTCACAGGATTATAGTTCAGGTTGTATAGTCCCTGCTAATTTCTGTACCTACTGGGTTATAACCTCACCCTCACTTTTTTTGTCACTGCACCTACTTGCCATCGTCCCTTAAAAATGACCGTACTTCATATACCCACAGTTTCCTTTTTCTTTGCCACTCATTGATACTGATAAAAACCACTCCTCCTTTATGAAAGTAAAGGATTTGATTCCAAGTGGTCATAAATTCTCTGCCTGTGCATACACATGCTCATACCCTGAACATGCATCAGACCTGTGTATCCAGTAATACTTCATTTATATGGCAACATTTTAAACTGGTACCAGTTGTTGCCCCAGCAGCATTGAATGTTTTGGTGAACTGGACTTTGATAAAAGTAGGATATTAGGGGTTCTGCATGAGTGAATAAGTGTGTTGTGTGTGAGGATAAGTGGGTGTTGTGAGTGTGAGAAAGTGTTTGTGTGTTTGTGAGTGTCGCTGTTACCTAGAAGCATACATGGGTTTTACAGCCCACTGTATTTGAGTCCTATCTCTGGAAGTTCATGGTTATATATCAAACCAGTTAAAACACTTCTTTCTTTCTTCTCCTCGTATAGTACTTGTTATACTTTGCCATTAAGAGTTTTGTTGTAATATCTGAATGTGAAAGATTAAATAAAGTTATAACTTGCACCTGCTGCCTGTCATGCCTGAGGCCACCCAGCACCAGATACTGAGGTGTTGATTCTCGGTAAGTCCCAGCGACTCTGATCTTTACACAGAACTCAAGCATGAATCTAGGCTATCTTGAGATCCAACTCAGATCAGTGAACATGCTTTGGTTTCACCTTTTTTGTGGGGCCCCTTTGCATTTCCTTCTTGCAGCCAGGAAGCAGCTGTGCTGGCGCTGGCATTTCCATCCCAGGTTAAAATATACGTGTTTTCTCGTGAGATCTTTGGATAAAACCAAATGCATTTTGGATAAGTATGGTTACCTAATCCCACCGGGCCCCAGAATACAAGCTAAAACCTAAGGAAGAGGGAGGAGGTTCCTTACTGGAGGTTTGGGGATTTTTTGCCTAGTCAAAATCCACTGAAATGGACCCCACTTCTGCAGTTCCTGTCCCTGCGGTGGCTCAGGCCCCAGAAGGCTGTGACTCGGATAGCTTTTATCCAGCTGCAGAGATATATGAATGTGTTCCTTCAAACCTGGTGATGTGCTGAGATCAACAGGCAGGAGTCAGAGCGGGCCCTGAGGTGCCCTTCCCCAGGGTCCCAGACCCACCGCCTCTACATCAGACGCCAGCAATCCTGACCTGAGGGTCGAGAGATTCTCAAGCCGGCACCCAACCCAGTGAATCCTCCCCCTGTCCAGCTGTTTTCCAAGGGGGCCTGAGCAACACTTGGAGAAAGAGGTGAGAAAATGGGTTTTTTCTCCTAAATCTCCTCAAGGTGGAGCTCTGACTCCAACACTGCACAGGACGGGAAAGGACCAGGGCTGCTGAGACATGAGGCTGGAAACCTGTGGGACAGAGGAAGGCACCCGAGACTGAATGAGGAGGGTGGATAGGGGGAAGCTTTGGGAAAGGAAACATATTTGTACCATGAAAAGCAAAGTGTGAGAAGAGAACTTGGCTGCTCGCGCTGGGGGCGGGAAGATTAGCTCCTCTAGACACGTGTAGTCTTCCATTGAGCAGATCGGTGCCGTCCAGGCGCAAGGCCAGAGAGCTGCTGCATCCAGGGACTCTTGACCTGGGAGGTGTGAACTAGGGGACACAACACCTAGGAAAGATGAGAGGGCGAGGGTGAGAAAGGAGGTCCCTTCGAAATAGGCAACACAGTGTAGAGCAATGGACTGGGAGAAATATGCCCATGTATAAAATAGAAACCATATTTCAGGGCATTGGGGAGTTTTACAGGTGCTTGCGCAGTGTTTGGAGATTCTCAGGAAAAAGGGAGCAGTAATAGCAGCTTGACCATTCAGTGCTGTTACCATAGCACTACACAAATGCCTACCAAGCACACCTTGCAGCACCCCTGGGGGGAGATTAGCTCCACTTTACAGCTGAGAAAACTGAGGTGAGGAAGGGAAGTAGCTGGCTCAGCACCACCCATCATGAACCAGGAGAACCCACCACCATTTCCTGAGAGCCACCCAGTGCTCGCTCCTGCAGACCTTGCTCCTCATAGAAAGCTATTTGTCCCTCTGCAGCATTTCCTTTGCAGCACATTTCTGCCAGCTAGCCCAACACAAAGGGGCTGCTGAGCAGCTGTAAGAGGCGGTCTGGGACTCCCCTGCGCACAGAGGAGCTTGCTGCTGCACCCAGGCAGGCAGCTGGCCCCATCAGCCCTGGGCTGTCTCAGCAATACCCCACTGTGCAGGGGACAGGACAGGGTGGAGCAGGGGTTGTCAGCCTTGTTAGACTCCAGGCACCTGTTGGAAAATGCCAGCTCTTAGTTTTCGTGAGTTTTTATTTTATTACGTAAAAATATTAGGGGAGTATTTCTGTTGCAAAGTATGCAGAAAGATCACAACAGGTCAGAATGTTTTTAGCACTATGGATTCCTCTGGGTTTATCGTGGGAATCCCATTAGCACACTCATGCTGCTAGCATTGTGTGGCACTCTGCAACACCCTTGAAAGGATCTCAATGCACCCCCGGTTGTCACGGGACCCTGCTAGAGAATCACTGGGGTGAAGGAAGCAGGTTAGGGACACAGCCATGGGGTTGGAGCTCTCTTGACAGCCCACTGATTTTTGTGCCTCTGCAAAGCAGGGATACACACTGAGATGGCCTGGTACACTCCCCTGGACTGCAGGTGAGATGAGCCAGCCCCTGGCCCCCCTCTTGCCCAACCGTGGGTGCCTAAGCCGTGCAGAGCTGTGAGCTATGCTATGGGGAAAGGGCATTTTGGCAGGGATGCTCCCGCTCTGAGTTTGCTTTGATCACCACAGAGTTGTTGGCCCATAACATTTCACTTCCCATCCGCACTCCAGGCGCAAGGGCTCTGGAACGGTTTTGGCGAGGGACGCTATCAAACTGTGAGCATTTGTCATTGCTGCCGCCTTGCGGCCTCCTCTCAGGGAGGGCAGGATGGAGGGTTTTGTAAAATGCTCAGAGGCCATTAGTGAAATCATTGCGGTTTTTCACCCAGCATTTCCCAAGCAGAGGAGGAAAAAATATGATGCAAAGCAGAACATTCAGCTGCTGCTTTAGAAACGTTTCCTGTATTGTATTGACATTTCTATAGAGCTTTTCATAAACAGCCTCTCAGAGGATTTCACAGATCCACAAGTTACATGTCGTCAGGGGCCTGCTGGGCCAGCTCTGGCCTCAGAGGCATGCGTGTGATGCCCACTGCCTTCCCCGGGAGCTACATGGACAAAGCCAAGGACTGCGTATGACCCAGCGGTTACAGGTGGAGGAAACAAAGAGAGGGGCTTTCTCCTTGCTATCACGTGTGCTTGTGCAACCATGTGAATCAGAACCAGATAGGCTGCAAAACTTAAAAAGAGGAACCATTTAACCAGAATACTAAAGGTTAATCACTTTGCTTATCATAGGGCTTTCCACAGCTGCTGGTAAAATCATCAGGGACTGCATATCTCAGAAGAACAGCACTGCAATTATTGGTGGGGGAATTCAGAAAGCATCCTCCACAAAGGCCCAGTGAGGACTGAAATACTAGATTACTTGTTTTCTCTAGAAGACATGAATTTGAGAGACTTTGCCTTTGCAAGATCTGAGTTGTTTTTTGTTGTTGTTGCTGTCGTTACTTTTAACTGTTCCTGAGGCCACAACCAGCCTCAAATCCCTGTAACTCCTGTTTTGTCAAGGAAATGAAGACATGCTCACTCCCCAACCCCTGCCTGTACAGGACGTAATGAGATGAATATGTATTTGTTTAATCCTGTAACATTTGGGTATTTGTGCGCTTTCCTACTTTTATTCCAAACAAAAAGAAAGCAACCCAAGCAGCGGTGGCAAAACTCCAAGGACGGTCATTGTATCGCGTCTATTTAAGTTCCTGCTCTACTTGCAGTCGGTTCAATTACTCTTCATTTCCCCACCTGGCCCTTCCTTCCTCCTGCACACGGGAGACGTGGTTGTGCATTTCATTCTTCGCGCCCGTCTTCTCCCTACGCAGCTCAGCGTGGGATCCTAGAGCAGCGGCTCCCAAATTGGGGGGTGCAATGCTGCGTGGGGTCACAATAAAAGAGGGGGTTTTGCCCACTATGGGGAAGGAAGGTGCGAGGGGGCGCGTGCCCCTCATATTTGTACGTGGGGTGGGCACAAGGCAGAGCTGCAGGGTGGGAGGCATGGGCTGCCCTCAGTGCAGCCACAGGCCTGCACCCTGACCCCATTGCACTCAGCTGTGGCTCCGCCCCCTCCTCCCATTGGCCCCGCCCCACGCCGACCTAGTTCCAGCTCGCCCCGCCCCGCCCCCGGGGGGACGCGCGCGCTCGCTCTCTCCCCTCCCTGAGGTGGGCGTGGCCCGCGCGGAGCCCCGCCCCCCTCCTCGTGGCGGGGGCGGGGCGGCG